ATTTAATATAATCTATATTATAAAATAAAAAATTAATTTTTTTTTTTGTGTTGCCCAATGTAATACATAGTCTTACATAACAAAACCACGGCATCGTCCGTATATGTTGACTGTACTTCAGCATTCCATATTTCTACGCATAAAGCAAGTTGGGGATGCAAGTTGTCACGGTGGCTCAGAATCCAAATTCGAGAACGTGACAGACACTGTACACTCGTAAACAGGTCCCACGAATGCACAAGACTTGAAATTTATCTAATTCATGTCTGACAATCTAATAACTTAGATTTGATATTTCAAAATTTATTATATGTCCAACATGACTTAAACTCAAAATCTCAAGGTCAAATCTTTTATAAACTAACAATTCATTAAATGAATATATAAAATCTCCGATTAAATTTTAGTTTACAAGATCATGATTTATATCTCAAATCTATATTCACTTTACAAAATGTCTAGCTTTCTAACTCGTCACTCTCCTTGGTTTCCCGTCTTCAATTTCGCTTCCTGAAATGGTGGACAAGAAAAACTATGAGATAACTCAGTAAGTAAATATGGATAACCCTTGAGTAAAATTTTAGCATGCCTGATAAACAATTTAATATATCAAAACGTTTAATGATAAACCATTCATGCATAATAAAACTCATCAGTAATCTCATCTATAGGTCATGACCAGAGTTTATAAACCTCCCACTGGCGGGCACAATAATAGTACCAGTGTTCAACAACTTCCACTCACAGGCGTCAATAATAACCAATGTTTAACCCAATTGGCAGGATTACAGAAGTACCAGTGTTTAACAAACTCCCACTAGCAGGCGTCAATAATTACCAATGTATTATCCCATTAGCACGATTACAGAATGGACCGGTCATATCAGTAAACATGTCGACATGTGTTAGCGTTTATAAACCTCCCACTAGCAGGTACAGTAAACATGATCATATCAGAGACAAAACCATGTAGAATTTACAGAAAAACTCAAAATTCACAATCAATCTTAAATTTCATAAATAACCAGAAAATTCCATGTGGGCATGGATTCAGCAAAAAATTCAGAACTTACAAAATTCTCAATTCATCAAAACAGTTCAGTCAATTCCAAATAGGCATGCTCTACTCCAGAAAAACAACGAAGTTCTCATTTTCATTCCAATCATGCTCAATTCCAAAAAAACAAGGAAATTCTCATAAAAATCATCCAAAATTTTCATTTCAATTTAATCACACTCAAATGCTGATAAAATCAATTTAAAATCAATTTAAACCTTATCACCATCTCAAAAACAATTTAAAACATGCTTTAAAAACGAAGGGCATTATCATAATTTACTTACCTCACTCGCACAGAACAGAAGGCTTAACCCAAGTGCTACGGTGAACGATCAAAACTTAATCACAATATTCCAAAATTAATACCGCACTACCACACATTCAAAGTGAAATCATCATTAACACTACCCCTAATCACGGTGCATTTTCTATCAATCTCCACATAACCAAACATCTCCAAATTTGTTCTTATATTACAAACTAAACATTTAAATCCCTGTTAATGGTTGATCCTCGGTGTGTGAACAGTACCCATGAACAATACCGTGAACAGTAACTTCAACTTCCAAATTTGCAAAACCATAGCTAATCTCACGGGACTTTCTCTATAAAATTCACAGCAGCCAATCAAGCCATTTCTACGTGAATTAAAGCTAAAATTACATACTTAAATGGCTGCCAAATTTCTTCCTATTTCCACAAATTTTCGGACAACACAGAGCATTAACTAAATGGACAAAACCCAGCAATTAAATGGGTAATTTAGGGCTTAAAGAAGTGGCCATCATACC